ATGTCATATTTTTCAAACAACAGGTATAGCACAACAGTGCTGCTACTGTTTGAATGTCATGGCTTACAGGCCTGTCTATTGCTCTTGTCTGGAAAGCATGCACACGTCACACCTTCCATCTGTCATGGTGGGGGGCAGGGAGGGAAATCATTCCTCCACACTATGGGTACTTTCAGTATTTGGGCTCACACTCTTCAGGGAGCTTCTGTCATTCTTGTCAAGTAACTGCTTCTCCTGTATATTGCCTTCTTTTTTGTGTATAAGTCCATCTTACAAGCTATAAAATCTTTGGCTTAAGATTCTTAAGTCCAGCCACAGCCTCTGACCCTTTGAACATTTCTTGGAGAGAGAGAGAGAGACAGAAAAAGAAAGAAAACGATTACTAGAATGATTCAGAATCAGCTGAACTCTTTGAGTTTGTCTGGGTGCCTCTGCTTTTTGTTTATATCTGGTGATTATTTTGGAGCATAAAATAAAAATAAAAATTTTCCAGCTTTCAAAGAACAGACTGGATTTGCTATACTGTGTGTTCTCTAAAAGTGCTCTTCTTTTTCCCAAATGTGGTGATAGCTGTGTGTTTCCTGTAAACTGTGTTGGGCCTGTTATTTTTGCTTATGTCTTTGTTTACCTACTCCCTGCTGTTGGGAAGAGTAGATCAAGCTGGCAAACAGTCTAGTTGGCAAGTTGGCAAACAGCCTTCTACTAGTGTCTATCTTTGCAGCACTCCTAGTGTGGGAACACTCCCACCTTTTTGCCTGTCTTACTGCCTTGCCTCCAAACATCTTCAAGTGTTAAAAATGATTATACGTTGGTGGCAATGACAACTGGGTGGTGAATAAGAAGTCCAAACCAATTCCTTCCGTTTTTTGACTCAAACCTCCCCTCACAACTGTTAAAAAGGATGCTTCCCATAAGTGAAAAGAAAATGGGGTTCACATATTGTTCGGCATTTTTTAACATTTTCATTAATGATTGAGTGAATGCTTAAAATATCTGTGGATGACACCAAGTTGGGTGGAGTTGCAGACACTCTGGAGGGTAGAGCTAGGATCCAGAATGACCTGGATCGACTGGAGAAATGGTCTGCAATCCATAGGACGAAACTCAACAAGGACAAATGCAAAGCCTTGTAGTTAGAATGGAATAACCACATGCACAAACACAGACTGGCTAGGCTGCAGTACTGCAGAGAAGGACCTGAGATTAATAGGGGACTGTAAGCTGAATATGAGCCAACAGTATGCTCTTGTTGAAAATACAAAAGCAAACAGCATATTGGGTTGTATTAACAGGAGTCTCACTTGCAATCAAGGGAAGTGATTCTTCTGTACTATTCAGCACTGGTATGGCCTTACCTGGAGTACTGTGTTCAGATTTGAGCCCCTCTCTTCAAGAACAGTGTAAGTAGACTGGAAAAAGTCCAGCAGAGAGTGACAAAAATGATTATTGGCCTGGAAAATATGACTTAGGGAGAAAGGCTGAAAGAATTAGGGTTATTTAGTTGGGAGAAGAGAAGACCCAGGAGGGATTTGATAACAGTTTTCAAATACTTCAAAGGTGATTATAAAAAGGATGGAGATATGACTAGGAGCAATGGCCTCAAGTTGCAGCAAAGGACATTTGAGTTGGAAATTAGGAAGCACTTTCTGGCTAAGGGGGTGGTCAAGTATGGAAACAGGCTACCTAGAGAAGTTATGGAACCTCCATCCCTGGAAATTTTCAAGAGCAAGTTAGGCAGACATTTGGTTGGGATGGTTTAGTCATGGATGACCCTGCCTTTAGCAGAGGACTATACTAGATGACCTCATGAGGTTCCTCCCAACCCTATTTTTCTATGATCCCATAACAAATTCAGCAATAAAGAGAAACATTTTTCCCCACCCCAGGAAAACAATGCCAGTGTGTTTCTACTCTGTGAAAATAGCTACTTAGTAGTAATCACCTAGAATGCTGCACTAGCACCATTTGAAGCTGAATTTTGAGCTCATATAGTAAAATATGGTAGGATTTTTGTCCAACAATGGGGCCTTAACCACACCTCTACCAGCCCCATGGAAAATCTGTAGAAAATTCATGCCTGAGGCAGCATTACATTTTCTGTGTAATATCTTCTGTGATGAGGACAAGAGGCGTCATGTGTGAGGAGAAACAGGTGTGAGAAAATTCTATTGGATCAGTATTTCCAAGGAGCCAAGGTTGACAAGATAGGCCGTGTACTTCTGCACTACACATGTGGATGGTCTCTGGCAGGTCTCTTGAGATCCTCTGTATTCCAGCAGCCTGTGAATTCCAAAGCAGCATATTTTACACATTCTGTGTGTATGGCAGGAGGGGAGCTAAGTAGTAGAAGAAAAGATGCCACCCCTCTGAAGGCTACACTGGAGGAGAATTTCACAAATTCCTCTTGCCCCAGATCTCTTCTCTTCTCTTGGGTATGAGCAGTTGTGCAATATAACCACATAGAAGGAAACATTACTTCGATTCATTGAACACGATCAGCTAACTTGATGTCTAAGGTTCAGTTGCAAATGTAAGTCTTTGCTTTATATCAAACATATACAAAGGTAATTAATGTTCAGGAGGCAAGGATTTCTTAGGGTGATATCTTTTATTGGACTAACTGCATGGTTGAGATAGAGTTAGACAAGCTTTTGAATGCAACCTCAACCATGCAGTTAGTCCAATAAAAGATATCATCCTAAGAAATTCTAGCCTTTCACATAATTCCTGGAAGATGAGAGTTACAACATCATTCTAATATCACCATTTATGTTTATAAAAGTCTCTATTCCTATATAGTCTCCTGATCAATTGCATATTTTGACACACAATTAAAAAAAAATTAATGAACATTTTGAACTCTGTTAATAGACCTGGAAACAGCATATAAGAGAAATAAGAAGCTAAAATCTAGGTTAGCAATAATTTCTTTGTAGTCATGATTTACCAGGAGAAATAATTGGCTTTCTAGGGGAGGCAGGATAAACAACTGATTTTTGGAAAGCCTGAGACAGGCTGGAAGAGCAGTGCCTGTTTCTTGGTAAACTTCAAGACACTGGAACTTTCCCTTGTGCAGGTACTTCGGGGAAGGAGTATAAATGGCTGAGAATGGAAAAGGGTGAGTGGAGATTGCTCATGTTAAAACCAGGCTCCTGTGGCTATAAGAATATGTGGAAACATAAAGGCCAAATAAATTTATTAACTTAAAAATATAATGGGTGTTTAATTGTGGATAGTTAAATAAAACCTTTCACTATGAAAAGAAGTTCTTCAGTGTGTGTATGATTTTTCAAGTCTTCACTTGATTGGAAAGGAGCCAATGACCAATTTCTAACACCTCAAATCCTTTTGATTTACAGAAGTGATTCAACTGTGATTGCAATGGTTTGTGTAATGTAGTCTCACCAAAGACCGACTGCTAATTTAAATCAGAAAGTTCTTTTGGAAATATTTTCAGTAGGGCTGTTTAAAAGAAATAAGAGAATATTTCAAAAACAAAAAGGGTGTAGCTATCCAGAATTACAGAGATGCTTATTTACTGGATAGTTTAATAGGGGACTTCAATGGCATACTTACTTGAATGAGATAAGCAGCATTTGGACCAAGCTACGTAGGTTCTTTTTAAAGCTTATAGCTTACCGTGGAGAAGATGGTGGGGAACAACTGTAATTCTCTCCTCCCTCTTGCAACCTATCTGAAAGTACTTTGAAAAGGTTAAAACATTAAGCAGCAATTCGGGAAAGCACTCATTTAAGGGCAAACACAGTGGCATCCAATAGATTGTTCTTTGTCTGGGAGCTTAGCCAAGCTCTCTTACTCACTGTAATATACCATGTCAAAGAGCTGGCTCTTTATTATACAGTGCTTTTAAAAAGTGTTTCACTTGGAAACATAACAGTAAATTTACTTCACCAGCTGAATGCTGCTTTGCAAATTTTACTATTACATGAATCAGTTCTGGCATCATCCATTACAGAAAATACTAAAGGCTTTTAGAAAATATTTATCCTGATTGAATTTATGATGTGATCTGTTATGCATATTTATGGCAGGTTTAATGTGATAAGATAGATGAAACAGCTCTTGATGACATGATGGCAATCTGATAAAGCTGCATTTCTAGCTTGTTCGGATTGCATGTTAGAAAGCCCTGGGAAACTGAATGTGATATGATAAAATAAAGTACCAAGTTGGAATGCTATCCAGGTTAGGAAAAGTAAAAACACCTACCAAAATAAAATTAAATCTACACTGAGCGGTCTAAATGGAGGTTGAAATTGTCTTTGTTTCTAAAAGAGATACGGACTTGAGGTTAAGTCCAGAAAAAACAGAGAGTGAGATTTTCCGTGTGGCATTCATTAGTCAGTGCTTCTTATAGGGAAGAGGGGTTTATGAGAATCATAGAGAAGACCACGTTTTATACCTCCAAAACCCAAGTTTCAGGAGGCAACAGTATCTGAAATTCTACTAAGAGCATTCTCCTTTACACTGATCTTCACTATTCACCTTCTTCTGAGAATCAGCATAGTATTACTATAGCTTTGCTGTCAAAAGTCCTGTTAGTTAATAAACTTCTCCCTCAATTGCACTTCAGTGCTACTCAAAGCAAACTTAACTCCTACTGTTTTTGCTGATTGTACTGATTTAAGCTTAACAGGGTACACCCAGGGCTCCTGCAATCACCCCATACTTATTCCATAGATCTCTAATGAGGCAGAATACTCCACCATGCAGTATGTGTCTAGAGAATCAGCTGTTGTAGATTCATCAATCTAACCTCAGCTCATTTCACATTGACTATGTCCTTTCCCCCTTCTATTGGTTTTGTGGCTTTTTCCATTTTGTGTTACAGTGACAAGCTGCTGAAAAAACACCTTATTTTTCTAGACTATATTGCTCCTACTGACTTTTCCCCATCTAGTTTTGCCTTTATTAAAGAACATAGTCTTAAAAATATCTTTTGGGGGAAGGGATACTGTCCCTTTAAATTTAGCAGAGAAAAGTAGATGTAGTCTTAAAGATGCCATTTTGAAACTTGCTATTTGTGTTTCCACTGGACAAGGATTCCTAAATTAGGTGGTGTTTTTTTTTTCCTCTTTCTGATTCTTCAGAATGAACATTCTTACTTAGTGAGTTACTTTAAATGTATTGTCCTCTCTGCTTTCTAGCAGAGAGACCAGGAGATGTAGGAACATTTTGCAGCTGATGGATTACCATAATATAGAGTAACTACTGAGGTCTTTGTAAGAAGAATAGATTCCAGAGTGTATCAAGTAGTATCAGCAGTCACAAAGGTATCTTCTGTGCTTCATTTAAAATTTAGAATGAGTTTAACATTGGTGACTAGAAGTAGTATGATATATGCTAATAAGAATGGTTGTTAGTGCTTTTATTATAATCTCAGTTGTTAGGAACTTGCAAATCACAAACACTTGCTTTGTGCCAAGAAAGCAGCATAAGGCTTTTGGATAACAGTTTTTTTTGTTGCTTTGGTTTTATTCTCTCTAACACACATTTTACGGACTGTACTACAATAGGAACAACACTGTGGGTTTTTTTTAGTGAAATCTGGCATGAACAGAAACTGCATTTTGCTTGTTTGGGTGGGAAAACACCTTAAAATACATGTTAGGCTCTCTTCTGAGATTGCTTGGTAGCAGACTGCTTAATTGAACATCATTACTTTTGCTATAGGCTTCTAATGCCTTGATAACATCTAGGCAGTAGTAACAATATCAGGTAAGAGGAAAAAGAGACTGTTCTCTAACTTTAGAATCTTCCCTTGTAAGGAGCAGAGAGGGGCTCTTAAGGTGTAGGGCAGTGGTGAGGAAATTGGACTACTACATTATTTACAGAAGGGGAAGAAAGATAAAGGAGGGCAGGTCCTGAGTTCTTGGTTTTTCTATAGCTTGGAAGGGTGAGTGCAACCTTCTTCTCCTGTAGACAAAATGTGACAGCCTAACCTTCTCACTTGCCCTTATGAGAAAATAACAGTGAAATCCTGAGCAGCTGGGCTCAGGATTCTTTCCTTTACAAGTGGAGGGAAAAGATCTGAAGAAAACTAGAGCAATTCATAGCAGTAGTTACTGCTACCTCTGTCAACATCTTCCTTGGGAACAGTAGCTATGAAATCCTTTGTAAAGACAGGGGTGAGAGAGCCTGAACTAATTGCAATGGAGAGGAGAATGGATTGCCTAAATTAACTGTAGTAGGTAGCTTGGAAATCCTTGCTCCGCAAAACCTAGGCAGAGCCCTCTTTCCAAACTTGCAACTCCTTGTGTAACCTAGGCAGCTCCCCATTTGTAAAGCTGACAAAAGTTGTTTCTTTATTTATATCATAAGAAAACCTTTTAAAATTGTCCTTAAAGTGGAAAGCCAGTAGAAGCTGCTAGCTAGAGCAGAAGTAAAACAAAGTGTGGGTATTCCATATTTTGGTAATTTGCTCCATATTTTACCCTAAAATATTGGAAAAATATTGTAGGTGATTATATAATTAAAGATAAATATGATGCTTAATACATACCAGAGAGCAGGATTAAAGTTGCAAAAGTGTTTCTTAGCAGCAGAATGCCTAATTTTGTAACTCTTAAATTTTATAATGATTTAAAAATATTATTTCCCTGAAGACAAGATTACATTTATGAAGAAAAGGGGGAGGGGGAAGGTTTAAAAAGAAATATCACTGAAGAAATGAGAAATTATGTAGAGGAAGCTACCCTACCAGTGGCACTTTGCTCTATTTAAATTAAGGAAAATATTTAAAGATGGGTTTGTCATTACTGGAAAAGGTGCAAGTGAATTGGAATTTTCCTGGAAGTGTAATGGGAATGCCCTAAGGAAACAGTATTTTAAGGGATCGTAACAAATATAATTTTTCAAAATAACAAACACTAGGCTACCTGTAGACCCACAGTGGTTCTACTGTGTTACAATCCAAAGGAGATAGCTGAGTTGGGGAAAGACCATTAACAATATAATCATTATTGGCTCCAGATGTGTGATAACTTATTTCCAATATTAGTGGCACGGAGAAATAAAGTATGGGAAATCTTCCAATAGAAAAAGTGCCAGACAACCTTATATCAGGAAGTAGCAGGTATTATACCATGAGATAAAATATTTCTTGAAATTTGAGCAAAACAAGTGGTTGATAAAACACACATGTGACTTTTAAAAGTAATAAATACAGATTATGCATAAGATTTGTTAATACTTGAATGGAATTTTTCATTTATGTGAATGATAAGATTTTTATGAAAAAAGAACAGACTGAAAAACAAACTCTGTTGTGGAACCAGGTGAGTTGTCACATGGTAGATGAGAATGTTTAGACCTACAGTGCAGATGTTTGGGGATGTCTATACCAAATTGCAAGTGCCTGTTCCAAAGTGCAAAAAGCTTTCAGTGCAGTGGTTGTAAGTTTGGGGCGGGGGGAGATATTGTTTTGTTTTTCTAAAATGGACAAAACAACATGTGTTTTCCTAACAATTTTTGCAAAATGATCAAAGTACCTTAGATTGAATTTATTTCTGGAAAGTTAAGGTGAGGCTGACATTCTACAGTCCGCTTAGTTATAAGTCTTGGCAGAATTATAAACACCCATGTTATAATGGGAAGTGTCAGGTGACTGTAGCTTTATGTGTCTCTACCTGCTGCCTAGAGCAATGCCCACTAACAAAAGCAGTGCTTTTCTTTGACTTTCTGGCACCTGTTAACTCTTCCCAGTATAGGCTTTTGTAGGAATTTTTCCCAGCATGCCTCTCAGTCACAAGCCCTTTGTATGGCAGCTGTAGGCCTAAGGGGCCATTTTAGCAATTGTAACTTTTTTTCTCTTCAAGTTGATAAGAGCTTTTAACTCCCATGTTAAACTAAGACAAAAACTAAAGTCCTGAAGATAGAATTTTTACAAACCATAAACAGAAGAATAATTTCAGAAATTTTCTTCCAGAATAGAATGTAAACAATTTTGTAAAACTATTGGATTTTTGACCTTGTTCTTTTGATACATTAAGAGCTGACTCTTTTTTTTTTTCCCCCTACAGTCATGTGTTTGTGTGTGTACACATGTGGCTTTCCATGCTCTCTGTGAAATATCAGGTATTTCTGGTTCTGCCAGTGGAGTTTTTATTGGGTGTAACATTTGCTGTCAACTCTTGTCTTTGTTGAGGTTGTGTGTGTGCTTTCAAACTTTATGGAAGTTCTTATTTCTTAATGGTCTAAGGCTTACAATTTGTAAAAGGATGTGGGTAGAATGTAAGTACCCAAGTCTAAGGGTACAATGCTCAAACTCCCTCAGACTTGGTAGGTACCTAAATCTCTTAGCACATGCACTTTTTCAGTATCTCAGCTATCTATTAATACAAATACATTTCTATAGAAAATCAAGCTAAGCATATTAGTTTAAGTGTCTTGACGGTTCAGTAGCAGGATGTAGAGTATTGTGCATGGCCATGAGGGATTCAGGAAGCCTTATCACTGAATGTAGCTGGCAAATAGGTGGCCTGCATCTTCTAGCTAGCCAGAGCAGCAAAGGGAGAAGTCCCCACATGTGCTGTTGTTTGCTTCACATCTTAATGACTGAGCGATATTTACTCTCAAATGCTGTGGAAGGTCCAAACAAGGGTGCTGCTTTTGACCAGTTACCTGAAGCTCTGCTTCTTCTTATCACTCCTTTGTGCATGTCTCCAGGCAGAGTTTTAATGGGTGGCATTCACAGGCTCCTTGGACTGAGGGACAGTGAGTGCTGGCCAGTGTGCTCTGCTTGGGGTCCTCACTTGGACCCTTTTTTATTAGCCTATGAACATTACTCCCATTGCAGCTTTCTCTTTTGTTGACCCAAAAAATCTGTTATACTTCTAGAGGCCTCCCTGACTGAGAGAAGATTATCGTTCTCTTGATGGGCCTAGGCCCACCATGCCTGGCATAACTAATTGGCCTGAAGCTCTGCTCCTGCCCTTCTCTGAACTGCTTCTGTCCTGACAGGTATGAGCAGCTCATTGTCTATGTCATGTTCAAGCCTGTTTGAAATCTTTAAATTAGGAGTTCTTCCACCTAAATCCTCGTCATCTTTCACACGTACAGGAATGAGCTCTTGACAAAAAGGAATGAGTGACCATGTCTACTCTCAAAATATGGCCAGAAAAAGAGAAGGGGGTAGCAGTGGTGCTCCCCTTTTATTCAATAGCTTAATTATTAGAATACTTGTTTAGAGACCTGGTCTTATGCCCTTTTCTGCCTGAGTAGGTGCGAGACTTAAAATATCAACTGTCGTCTTCATGAATGTTGGTCTTTCTTCCAAAGGACTATTCTTGCATTTTATCAAATGATTGTTCAATATTAAAATCATAAGCAGTCTTTGAAGGAGAGAGGAGAATCCAAGTCTCTCCTCCTCTTCTACAAAGAGTGAACCCTAACCACTGACCTACAGAGTGATGTTCGCTCTCAGTAGGATAACTAGGGTGGCAGGGAAGGTGGGGGGGTGGTGACCATTGAAGCATTCCAGGTGCCACTTTTGAGGGAGGGGGGTGGGGGGTGGGGTGCAAAAATAGCTGCTGCTGTCAACAGCTCAGTAGCCACTACTGTTCTAAGTACTGCCATCTTTGCCCAGGGTGTAGGGCTACCATTATGCATCTGCTTCCTTTTGTTCCCCCTCTCTGGTCCAATAAATCTTGAATTGTTTTCCCAACAGCATGAAAGTTTCAACAGAGGAGAGATTCCCTCCCTCTGTCCAAGAACTGCCTATAGCCAGGTGTTGAGAGCACTTGCTTATGAGGGTAAGGAATACAGGTTTGAATCAACTCATTCCTAAGGAGAAATAGAACCCAGACCTGCCACAGCCTGAATACTCTACCCACTCAGCTTGTGTGAGGTTGGCAGTGGGATGGAGGCATCGTCACAACCACTACCTTCTCCTCCTCGTGTCTCAAAGAAAAGTAAGACCAAAGGAACAGGTTGACTACCTAATTCATACAAGAGGTTCCAGGCTTTAATTTCTGATCTGATATAGCCAATTCTATGTAGCCTTGAGCTGAGTATTTATCAATGTTTCCCACTAGCTAGTTTAAGTGCTTCAAGGTTCAATTTTTGGTGCCTGTTCTGATTCCCCTTCTGAATCACTGGACTCTCCCCATGTACTGTATAGGGGACTTAGGTGCCCAATTCAGGATGTTGATCCAACTCCAGAAACCAGGCGCCAAAAATTTGTCATTGTGACAATTAGCATTGGAGCACCTAAGTTCCTTTTTGGATTTGTCATTGATTTTAAACATAATGTTAATAAAAATGAATATTGGATAGCATCTTCAACAGTCTCTCCCTAAAAATCCCCCCTTCTCCCTTGTTTAGCTGTCAGTGTCTTGTTTTGTGTGATGGTATTATTTCACTAGCTCCTCAGCTGCCATTGAATCTTCAAGGGCAGATGACACCTGAGTTTGCAATGTATTTTTCTTTATATAAAACAATAAACGTCCCTCTCTCTCTCTCTCAGCCTTTCAATACTTCACCATTCAATATTAAAAAGAGGGGAAAACTTATCAGAAACAAGCTAATTTCCACCCGCCACCACCTTCTACCTTTGTGCCTTGACTGTTAGGAATCTGAGATTATGTAAAATGGCTGCAAAATGCTTCTATTCTGATTTAGTAATGTTTACACCATCCATATTACACTTGGATTTAAATGACTATGCACGTTGTAAGGCAGTGGAGAATTGTTCCCTATGTTTATGAACAAAGCAGGGAAACAGCAATTTGATCTGTTGTTTTATCATTTATCAGTTCTCCCTGCTTATTTCAAATTTATCAATTATATTCTTCCTTCAAGGTCAGATCATCTTGCATTTAATAGTAATGTGAGGAAAGACTGTTTCTATTCAATGAAAATCTCAATTTTAGTATATCGTTGCGTTTTAAGGTTATAATGCCCGGGTAGCATTCTGATATAAAAAAAAAATCTTTACTTAAGCTAGGGGTTTTAAATCATTGAGTTGTTATATTTATTAGAGGGATTATACATTTGATTCAATTTAAAGTGTTTTACTAATGTTTTTGAGACTTAAGCCTGTCTTCACATTCTTGCTGAAATAAAAGAAACTGATTGTGCTAATTCAACACACACTGTTTGAAAATCTTTTTGTTTGAAGTATAAGGTAGAATAACAATTCGGTATCTGAGGACGGCTCTACTTTCGATGCGAATTTCTCAAGATCACCTGTAATAAAGATGTGTAAAAATACTCTTCTGTCCACTTACATGTGTAGCCTGTGACATGACAGGAAGAAATGAAAAGTAGTAATAAGAATTCTTTAGGTCAGTCAACCTAACTCTTAGACTAAGTAGAAATTGAAAATTCAAGCTACAAAAATAGGTGCCTAATTTTGTTAATTAAATAAGTGATCTGATTTCCAGAGATGCTATGCCTTAAGAGAACTTTTTTTTTCTTCAATAACAAAAATATTGAAATAGTACTTATATTATGGAACCCCTTTCAATGGGGTGATAGGGGTCTTGCATTACTATTCAGTTCCAGTATGAATGTTAAGAGCCATTCTTTTAAATTGCTAAAATGAGAGGCTAGCATTGTGTACTATTTGCAAAGTAAAACTAAGATTTTGAAAGAAGGTGTCATTGACTCTATCTGTAAGCTCTTGATCTGAAGGCCACTAGGATCAGATTGGAATGAATGTGATTAGGCAGGAGGCAAGATGGTAATCGGAACAATGTGTCCCCCATTGCTGCTCCCCAATTTTGAAATGTTACAGATGACCAAAAATTGTAACCCTCTTCCCAAGATGTATTTCCCATTAGAAACAAGGGCTTACAGGTTTTGAGTCATGTAAAACTTTAGTTTTCATCTCCTATGGTTCTTGATGCATTTTATGAAAATACTGCAAATAATTTCAATGAAATGAATGAATTTGCATGAAAATAATTTTGGTGATCTCTTGGGTCATGCAAAAAAATCCAACAGCAAGAGCAACCAGGATGCTTTCAGTGTTATGGCTCATTATTTCTCTCTCTTTCTGGTCAGCAGGATCACTGTATTTTCTTGCATAGCGCACACCCCAAAATAAGGCACCTTGCTTTGGGAAAACAGAATGAAGAAAAATACATTTTTTCAGGGCTTTCTCTGCCACAGCATGGACTCACTGTGGATGAATGCTCTCAGGCACATGCGTTACTCACCCCCTCCTTTCAATTCAAAAAGCTGCTTCCAATTTAATCCTGTGACAGGCCAACTCCAAAAGCTGCTTCCAATTTAATCCTGTGACAGGATTAAAACTTGAGCTTTGGAGCTTGAAAGAGGGGATGAGTAACTGGAAATCAGACTCTGCCCGTCCTGTATGGGCTCAGGCAGGCAGTGCAACCCCTGGCAGTCATTACAATATCCTCATACATGCCTTCTGGTAAGGAAATTGGCCTCCTTGCTTAAACACACGAGTAATGGATGGCTAATTTTTTGGGGGAAAGACACACGTGGTATACAAGTAAATACAGTAGTGCCGCTAATAAACCTGGTAGAATCTATCTCCTTTTTGTGGATGCTGTTGATGCTAGTAAGCTTGCCGTAGAGTAGTTGTGGAAAATGTGTCCCCGTGACAGTGTTCTGGATCTAGTCTGCAGAGTAGGGAACAAATCTAGCAGGTACTAGCTGAAGCTCAAGAGGTGGTGCATTGTAATCCTCATTTTGATCTCTCTCATGAATTGAGAGAAGGAAACAGAAGAGTAGAAGCACAATTTTAACATCAGGGGAAAGGACATTTCTTATTTTCAGGAGGGAGGAATTTTCTTATGTTTGCCACATGCATCAAGAGTTTTCAAAGTACTAGTGATTTTTAAACGTGAAACACCTTCAAGAGGGCTTGATTTTCACGAAGTGCCTAGTTCTCTGTCTTTGGAAATTGGCCCTATTTCTATAGTCTGAAGTTGGGTACCTAAAATTGCTAGCTGCGTTTGAAAATCTTGGCTTTCTTGTGCAGTCTTTTTTGCCAATACTTTGGAAGTGAGATTTCTGCTGAACAGTACTCCCTGTTATTTTGTGTTAATTTTAACTCATGTTTAATTTAATGGCAAGTGTGTGTGTGTGTGTGTGTGTGTGTGTGTGTGTGTGCGGAAACACTAATGGCTTTGTTTCTTGGCCAGCACAAAGATTGTATTTCTCTGTGTTGTTAACTTTGTGTCATCGCAGAAGGTAGACTAACTTTATTTTGAGTTTGTCTTATTTTTGCTTGACATTTTAGGATGAATAGCTCAGCATAACAAATTATTATATATGCTTTAGCTTCAAGCTTTTAATGTGGAATCCAAGTTTTAGCATCAGGATCCAATTAAATGATAGTTCAATCTGACTTGAAAAATTAATGGTCCAGAACAGAAAGCCTGTCACATTTTTTTTGAAGTTCTTATTTTCAGTATTCCTGTTTTAAATAAAAACCTGGATGCAACCCAGTAACATAAAGCTGCATGTTCTTTCATCAACTGAACATAATCTTCACGTTCATGTGTAGCTATAAGTAAATAACTGTTATTAAATATAGCGTTTTATTTGGCTGCATAGGTGTTATTAGTTACAAAATGGTGCTGTGGTGTCCTGTTCAAAAAAGTTTATATTGCTACTGTTTGCTGCCCTTTGCAGGAGATATGATTTGAACTTTGTAAATCATTATTCTATAATTATATGTCATCCACAATGACAGTTAGAACATTCAACTTCTGTTGATGCATGAATTGGACATATTGATTTTTCATTTTAATGATATACAGATTGGCAAGTAATAAATTTTGATGCAAACATCTGCTTAAAATGTGTTTAATGTACCCTGACTGAGAATAATGGTTTACAATTAAGTGCAAGTGGAGGATTCAGATTTGTATATAAAACAGTGATGCATGATGCTATGGGCACCTTATACCAAAAAGGAAGGCAATGCCTTTAATTTCACTACAGTTTAAACATATCGTTTACTGATTTCCTGATTTACTTGCATTTAGCATTTTAGCCAAAAAAAGATTTCGTGGCAGAGTATTGAGAGCATTAGTTTTTTGAAAATTAAATTACTGTAGATTTACTGGAAATTATCTTTTTATGTTTGCAAAAGTTACATTTGTTCTCATCACCCAGCAACTTTCCTGCAGTTATAGTCTTGGCCACACTTCCCACTTTTTAATCTCTTGTTACCCTTAAACTTCCTCTCCATTTGTCTTATTTTTGGCATTATTTTTATAGAGCAGTGCATTTCCACTGTAATGGGACAGACACACTGTTATATACCAGTTGGGAAATGTATTTAAAGTAATTAAAAAAACAAAAAAACAACCATTCAAACTAAACTGTTTTGAACTTGTTTTTCTTTCTTTATATTTAAAACTAGCTCCTCTTTAACTAGACTAGGGTTATCCAACGTCAGCAGCTGGGCACCACATGCTATGGGGGTCACAGGTCCCCCAGGATCCACGCCATGCTATGCCCACCTATGGGCATTCCCTCTCCTCCACCTTCCACACTGCACACAGATGTTCCCCCCCAAACCCCCTCCCCACTGTATGTATGGACAGCTTTGGCTGCCTAACCGCTATACTATGCCGCATGCAAACTCTAGGCTGCCAGCTCCTCTGGCAGTGTGAGCTATGCAGCACTGCACTGCTGTGGCCCATCCCTCTCCTTGGGGTGGAGGAATGCAGCAGAAACTAGAGGCCGGAGGGGGAGTCCCGAAAACCCAGCTGCTGCTTCAGCA